TAGAATAAAATAAAGTTATTTTATTCTAAAATAAATCAGCCACTAGAGCCTTCCAATCCCTATGAGTACGCACGACTCGTCTAATTTCTTATTAATCTACAAAACAGTCCAATGTGGGGTCACTACTGGGGTACCTTAAGTATAAATAAAGTTATTTTGACCCCGTTACAGATAAATTGGACTATTTTGTTGTTCTTACTATTTAAAAAGTAGTCTAATTTGTCTAGATCCTACCATAGATAACTGCACCTTAAGTTCTACTATAAATAAAGTTATTTTATTCTAAAATAAATCAGTCACAGCCAGTAGAGCCGTCCGATCCCTATGAGTACAAGCGGCCGCCTAATTTTTTACTACATAATCAACTAAATAGTCCAATTTATCTATTACCCCACACACACATATGCTCAATGCACTCCACGTTTAAACTTAAAACTAGATGTATAACTAATTTATATGAAGGGGCGACCTGGTGTCTAAGGTACAGGCTATGGCTTAGTTTGGGCTCCAGATTTCCCACAAATTATATTTCTGATTTTTATTTGTTAGCATTTATATAATAAAACTGGAATTATGTAATTTGTGGAGATGAAATAAAATTTATTTATTTATTTATTACCCCATCATACATCAACTGCACCTTAAGTTCTACTATAAATAAACTTATTTTATTCTAAAATAAATCAGTCCCAGCCAGTAGAGCCGTCCGATCCCTATGAGTACGTGCGGCTCGCCTAATTTCTTACTACATAATCAATAAAATAGTCCAATTTATCTATTACCCCATCATAGATCAACTGCACCTTAAGTTCTACTATAAATAAAGTTATTTTATTCTAAAATAAATCAGTCCCAGCCAGTAGAGCCGCCCGATCCCTATGAGTACGTGCAGCCGCCTAATTTCTGACTTCATAATCAATAAAATAGTCCAATTTATCTATTACCCCATCATAGATCAACTGCACCTTAAGTTCTACTATAAATAAACTTATTTTATTCTAAAATAAATCAGTCCCAGCCAGTAGAGCCGTCCGATCCCTATGAGTACGTGCAGCCGCCTAATTTCTGACTACATAATCAATAAAATAGTCCAATTTATCTATTACCCCATCATAGATCAACTGCACCTTAAGTTCTAGTATAAATAAAGTTATTTTATTCTAAAATAAATCAGTCCCAGCCAGTAGAGCCGTCCCTCCCTATGAGTACGTGCAGCCGCCTAATTTCTGACTACATAATCAATAAAATAGTCCAATTTATCTATTACCCCATCATAGAACAACTGCACCTTAAGTTCTAGTATAAATAAAGTTATTTTATTCTAAAATAAATCAGTCCCAGCCAGTAGAGCCGTCCGATCCCTATGAGTACGTGCGGCTCGCCTAATTTCTTTATAAATGCCCCCAGAATTTGATATTCGGGGCGCGAGCCTCTGCTATCGACAGCGGTCTGCCTTTTTGCGTCTACGTACTAACGTGATTAATTAACAACTAGACGGGTCGTGATTAATGCTCTTCACGAAAAAATATACATCGGACAGAAAAATCAATTTAGCAGCGGAGCAGAGGGCCCTTATTGGAATTCGACGCTGATCCGTACCATATACTGATATTATAAATGACGAATTGACGGCCTCGCTGGTGTAGAGGTTTAGCACATGGATTTAATTCCGATGGTCGCGGGTTCGATTCCTCGTACGGTACTAATATTTATATTGACGGCTTCGCTTGTCTAGAAGTTTGACATAGTGGTTTAATTCCGATGATCGCAGATTCGATTCCTTGTACGGTACTAACATTTGTGTATTGACGGATTCGCTGGTCTAGAAGTTTGACATAGTGTTTTAATTCCGATGGTCGCAAGTTCGATTCCTCGTACGGTACTAACATTTGTGTATTGACGGATTCGCTGGTCTAGAAGTTTGACATAGTGTTTTAATTCCGATGGTCGCAGATTCGATTCCTCGTACGGTACTAACATTTGTATTGACGGCTTCTGGTCTAGAGGTTGTACACACCGCTTTAATTCCTATGGTCGCAGGATCGATTTCTCGCACGATATAAGTATTTTTATTCATGACTATAATTGTTTGTACCAGTCTGGGTGTTTTCTACATATATTATGTATGTCTAAGGAATCGAACACGCGACCATCACTGGTATATTCCCATACCGATAGACCACCGAGGCTGTCGAAATGAGTAATGGAATGAGAATCATGATCAGATTGTCTCCTTGCCATGCCTCACTTCCAGTTCAATTTGCACTTATTATATTGCTGACTTCAGCACTGCTGGGTTGCTGAAGTCAGCAATACAAGAAGTGCCAATTGCAATTAACTATTTAATTCATTGCTGGGTACAATAGCACTATGCAAACATTTGTATTCACGAGTATGATTGTTTGTATCGATCTGGGGTTTTTCTATATCTTATATATAAAATTCTCGTGTCACAGTTTTCGTTCCCATACTCCTCCGAAACGGCTTGACCGATTCTCATGAAATTTGTATTGAGTAGGTCTGAGAATCGACCAACATCTATTTTTCATCCCCTTAAATGTTAGGGGTAGTCCACCCCTATTTTTTTTTTATTTTAAGGCAAAACAACAAAACATATTACGCCGACCCCAAATAAATGGGATAAGGAAGAAGCAGATGATGATGATGAACGTTTGCCGGGACAGCTAGTATTATGTATGTATTTACTAAAAATATATCTAAATATATCATTCAGTTGTCTAGTAACCATAACACAAGCTCTACTTATATTGGGACTAGATGGCGCTGTGTGAATTGTCCATTATTATGATTATAAATGTGACAGTGGTCTGTCTGTCTAACGTTTTGTTAACTTATCACGACTTAAAACATTATAATAATATCTAGTGATACCTATGCCAGTAATTCTCTTCAAAGTGCTTTAGCCTTCCTCCAGACCAATTCATATTATCGATCGAAGTTCGTTCGTACCTCAACCCGCCAATCAACTTGTCAATCCGATCGTCGAGCATCTTAAGACGGATTTAGACTAATATAACTAGAAGTAGAACTAGGAATCAGTTAAATTTAGACTACAATAATTCAAGTTTTAAGTATAAACTTTTGTTTGAAATTATCATTATTTGTTTATTTACGTAGCTTAAACAATTACGCTATACAATTAATGAATTCATACACATAACATGCTCCTTTTAGGCACTGCAACGTGGTAGAGAGGCGGACGTTTTAAATATTATACTAATCAATATCTTGCAAGTACTTCAATTTTGTAATAAGCTTTATTTGTCATCATTTGTTTTAATTGGACAATAAATTTATTATATCTATTCAAATTTTTTTAAATATTTCGTAATTTATTGTACATTTTTATTGCCATGGAATAGAGACCAGAACTATGTATTTTTAATTTCGATACGGGTTGTACTAAATCGTTTTTGTGACGTGATTCATAACGGAGGGTTATTTCAATCAATGTTTTGAAAAAAATTGGGTACTTTCTTACAAATTTGCATGTATCCAAAATATACATACATGGTACAGTAAGGATTTTTAATGTTTTGAAATGTGATTTGCAGCTTTCAGTTTATATTAATACGTAAAGCAAAAACTGTTGTAGGACTTCTTTTTACAAAAACGCTCGGACGGAGAATTACGTCTCTATCCACATATCTCTATAGAGAAGGAATGCAGAAAACTAATATTTTATTTAAATTATGCAAAATCTTACCTTAATCACTACATAGTACAGGGTGGCCCAGAAGTCACTTTACATTTTGAAAATTAAATAACTTTTTTTCTATTAATATATCTTTTTTTCTCTTTTCAGAATTAAAAAATATAATCCCTAGAAATTTTTATCATGGATAAGTTAACAAAAGAACAGCGAGTGAAGATAATTGAATTTTACTTTGAAAATGGATGGTCAATTGTTGCAACGCAAAGATCGTATATGCGCCATTTTAATATTCGACAAGCTCTCTGAAACCTGACAGCATAATTTACTCATTTCTGAAAGTCTGCTGGTTTTAAAGATTGCACTAATTGAACCTTGTAAGGGTACATGTGCAAGTCTCTTTGAATGCGCTGCAGAGAACTCCGTGAGATGCCAAGTTCTTGACAACGCCTGGTTGGGTTTTCTTCAATGCTACGGCTCACAGCTTCAGTACTTTCACGTGTACGTACTGAAAGACCTCGTCCACTTCTAGTCCTATCACTTACTGAGCCATGCTGTTGAAAACGCTTCACTAAGTTCCTTATTGCAGGCCTACTAGGGGGATGTCGAACATTAAAATGGCGCATATACGATCTTTGCGTTGCAACAATTGACCATCCATTTTCAAAGTAAAATTCAATTATCTTCACTCGTTGTTCTGTTGTAAACTTATCCATGATAAAAATTTCCAGGGATTATATTTTTTAATTCTGAAAAAAGGAAAAGAAATATATTCATAGAAAAAGTTATTTAATTTTCAAAATGTAAAGTGACTTATGGGCTATCCTGTATAAAACAAAGTCGCTGTCGCTGTCTGTCCCTATGTAGCACACATAGGCACAGGTAGAGATAGAATCGATGATTCTGTGTAAGTTGGATAAAAATATTTTTTACTTTTTTATTTCACTTTAAACGATTTTTTCTTCAAACTACTTTTTCAAAGTCCGTGTTCAATGCCATTTAAAAACTACTTGACCGATTCATTTCAAACTTTATAAACATTTTTGACATATAAAACACCGGCCCCCAACGTGTAGTAATTTTTTTTACATTATCTATCTATCTAAATAATCGACTAAGTTGCAAAATCTCTGATAAATTCGTCTTCCTGATTATTACAAAATCAGAAATAGCCCACAGTTCGTCGAACATAAATTTAGTAAGCAGTAATTGGCGAGCATACCGCGGTCTCTAATAGATTATTATATTTAAATAACATAAGTATAGATAATAGGGTTCATCGAGATACAATAGCACTACGGCTCACTTCAATGTACAGTCTGACATCATGAAGCCGTTAAAAGTGTTTGTATTGTTCAGTGTGCTGATCATTTTAGGTCTTATTGCAGGTGAATATGATTTAAACTTAATTATTCATGATATACATATATAATCATGTTTTTTTTTTAAATATTCATTCAATATATCTTTATTCATGTTATATCGTATCGTATAGGCTCTTGTTATATCGTCAAATCTGCTATCAGTTCATATTGATTTCGAGATGAGAACTGACAAGAAACTCAGCTCGTATTCTTTTCAAATAGGTATTGTACATGTTTACAATAATACAGATTCATTTTTAAATTCAAAAATGTTTGTTTTATTCAAGACAGCGATTTTGTTTTATACTATGCAATACTAGTTATTTACCACCCATAACACAAGCTCTGTTTAGCTAGGGACTAGATGGCGCTGTGTGAGTTGTCCAAAATTTTTAATATTACTATATTCCTCTATCCTAAGAATTTAATGATTATAAGCTTTAGTTTCACGATTTTATATAAGGATGAAAACGGCGTTCATAGGCGGCTAAAATGTCCTACATTAACAAATAATTTTTGATTTGATTTGATTTGATTAATTGTACTATTCAGTTGGCATCACGTGGGCTGTGTTAGCAAATAGAGCGTCCTCTCTACTTGATTTGATTTGATTATTTGTACTATTCAGCTAGCATCACGTGGGCTGTGTTAGCGAATAGAGCGTCCTCTCTACCATCAGGTGGTATCATACCTGTGGACTGGTGGAAGAATTGTGTATTATACCAGATTTATCCGCGATCGTTCAAGGACAGTGATGGAGATGGCATTGGAGATCTACAGGGTGAGTATGGAAATTTCTAGAAAATTTTAACTATATTGTTGTTTAGTTTGTGTTATGAGTAATTACTATAGTGATATAGTTATTATGTATATATTTACAGATGTTTTCTTGAACTATATACATAATATACATAGCAAATATCTAAACCGATACAAACATTTCATACTCAGATTATAAATGTTTGTACCGTATTAGGAATCGAACCCTCGACCATCGGAAGTAAAGCGTTGAAAGAAATAGAAATAATCTTTATCAAATAAACTTACTACAAACACTTTTGAATAGTCATATTTATAGAAGAATATATATGCCTTATACTTATATATATAAACCTTAACTTTAATAATATTATGTTTGTTACTCTTTCACGCAAAAACTACTGAACGGATTTTGTTGAAACTTTACAGTAATATAGCTTATGCATCGGAGTAATATATAGGCTATCAATTTTACGCGGGTGATACCACGGGCTCACCTAGTATATTATAAGGAAGAATGATTACTTTATTTTTTTAATTTTTATTTATTTATTACTGTGTAAATGTTTTTTTTTCATGTAGTCTTTCAATAATATAGTTGCAAAAGACAGTGAATCATTATTTATTCTAAGACCTCTGTTACTTGTACACTTCACAGATGAAGAAATTGTAAAAGAAAAAATTATGTTATCTTTTTTGAAAAAATGTTAAATTGAACTTTATTACTAGAAGCATATGCATGCAATTCAATTTACATGACGTGAACAAAGCCGCGTGTAATGGCTAGCAACCCATAACTTAGACAAATAACCCTGAAGAGGCATCTTACGTAAATTACTACAAACTCACAAAGGCTAATGAAAGTGGATCAAATGAAATACATGTTAGAGAGATGCGGTTGTGTAAGACCTAACCTAGGTGGCTTTATTTTTCATTGAGATTTACTGCGGGCATAGCTAGTACGATTATCCTGGTATGGACATGTAATGCTTAGAAAAGAAATAATATTTTAATGAAGATGTTACATATGAATGTGGATGGTTATAAGGGCAGAGGAAGGCCTAAAAAGAGATGGATGGACTATGTGAAAGGTGATATGGTAAGAAAGGAAGTGAATAACGAGACGACTGCGAACAGGGATGAATGGAAGAGAAAAACATATTACGCCGACCGCAAATAAATGGGATAAGGAAGAAGCAGATGATGATACCTAATACAAGAATAAAGTAAATATCTGATTGAATGTGCAATGTTATATTCGATCTACCGCCAATGTTCTAAATGTATCCCCCACAGCACTGTAACTGATACCTATCCTATTAACAGGAAAGCTCCTAGAGGTGCTCTAAAATGATTTCTAAAACACGAATTTTACAGTTTAATTAAATTTGGATTTGGGCCAAGAGATTGAAATGGGGTAGGAAATACGTTTAATTAAAAACGTAATTTCAAATTGGTAGTCACCATAATTTAAATAATATCTGAGGTCTGGCGATTTATAGCACCGACCCAAATGTGTTTATTAGTCTGAGTGTATTTTTATAATTCTTCACAATAATTATATTCTATTTTATTATTATTAACTTATGTAACATCTATGATATAGCAATTTAAGACACTGTGACTGAATTTGTTTATATAGGGCCTTATTTTCATCTACATTTATATTTACATTTATATACTTTTTTCGATGTCTTGTTTGCAAACAAATTGTAAAAATGACTAATTCCTGGACTGTTAAGCAGCTCGCATAATTTATATTTCATTAATTGAGAGGGAATGACAGAAAATCAGAGTTGTGCAGCATACGTGTCAACGTTACGCTCACAGCATCCGCTGATTAAGCCCCTTTTGCCCAGAATACGCAGTGTGAGTAGTCATTACATAGTATAAAACAAAGTAGCTGTTGCTGTCTATCCCTATGTATGCATAAATCTTTAAAAATACGCAACGGATTTTGAAGCGGTCTTTTTAATAGATAGAGTGATTCAAGAAGGAAAGTTTATATATATAATACATGTGCACCCATGCGAAGCCGGGGCGAGTAACTAGTAGTAAATAAATTGTAAACGCCAAAACAAACAAGCAATTTATTATTAACCATAGTCTTTTATTACTGGGCTACTACCAACCACGCGGAGAGATACAGTCTCCACGAAGAGCCAAAATTATATAATCGCTCAGATACATCAACATGTAAATGATAGTTCAAATAAAACAAATGGCGATGGTAAGTGTCATAATGATGATGATAATGATATATAAACAACCCAAGAGTTATTTTCGTAAAAACAGTACTTCCTCTGCCCGTGTTATTGTGATGAATCAAATTGTAAGAGTTACTGATAAAGTATCTTAATGCAATGATATTAGATATAAAATCGATTGGGCCAAACGGACGTGTGCTGATAAATTGGCAAAATGAGAAGGCCAGTTTGGTTGACTTGTTGGATGATAATGTTATAGTGCACCCACTTACGCTAACATAATACGCTGTGGCTCCAGTTGAGGATGATGCGATGAGGATGTAGTCGATTCGAATCTTGTTTAAGACATTCGGAAGTAGCCATAATGGAGTCCAGGGAGAACCACGTGGAGTCGAACTGAAGTCAATGTAACTAATAGGACAATAATTACTAACATTTTCTTCTCCGCGGCCAGTAGTATTAGTCAAGCTAACATGTGTTTGGAGGCTAAAAAAGAGGACGTACAATATCCGATCTATCGCTCGATAAGCTGGTTTATTTTAATTAATATAAAAACAAAGTAGTCTTTGGTTGTAGTAAAAATCTACATCGCTTTTACCATAGACAATTGGCGTGACTTAATTTGTTTCATCTATTGTGTGTTTATACAAATCTTCACATATGTTAAGATCTATTAATGTTTTGTAATAAACATAGGCCTATATGATATTATATTCTCTTTGATTACACATCTATAAGAAAGACAAAGAGAACCGATGTTGCTATCTCTCATGCGTGCAGTGCCTTTCTAGATCATCTGGTTACTAATGTATGTAATTGTTGAACGCAGGCATCATCAGTGAACTGGAACACTTCGTGGACGCCGGTGTTGATGCTATATGGATATCTCCCATCTTCGAATCTCCTATGTATGATTTCGGATATGACGTCAGCAACTTTTATAAAATACACCACGAATATGGAACAATGGAAGACTTTGAGCAACTCTTAGAAAAAGCACATACGTTAGGTATGCGCAGTTGATTTAGTAATTTTTTTAGATTTGCAATGGGACATGTTTCTTCCTATCCACAGTATGAACAAACACGTGAAAATATGTTTAGTAATACTAGGAAAGCTGGCAAATATCGCTATTGAACTTATAGGGTTTGATGGTAGAAAATACAAAATTTAAAGGTGTATGTATTTTTAATACGGAATAAAAAATTGTTCACATAATAAATCCTTTGACTACCCTTATTACTTATAAATATGAAAATTTTGTCTTATTCTCAGACCGAATGAATATACGCATAATCACATCTTTTTTTGGAAACGTTAGTTTGCCTTATAAATTAAAGTACTAATATCACTATTAACAATTAGGAGTTAAATTATTACTGAATAACAAAATACATAACATTGATTCATCAGGAATTAAAAAAAAATCAAGATATATTTTTTCATCATCATCATCGTCATATATCATGTAGGTCTATTACTGACTCTTATGATATGTCGGAATGATTTCGAGATGAAAAGAACTGACAACAAACTCAGCTCATATTCTTTTCAGAAAAAAATAATTTATTCTCTCCTAATCTTTCAGGAATTAAAGTACTACTGGATTTTGTACCAAACCACGCCAGCACTGATTCTAAATACTTCATGGAATCAGTAGCTAATAACGAGATTTACAAAGATTACTTCGTGTGGGCAGATCCACGATGGCTCGACCCAGAAAATGACACCAACAGACTTCCGCCATCCAATTGGGTATGTTTAAATCGAATCAAAAAATCTTTTATTCATGTATGACATTTTAGCCGCTTATGAACGTCAAGTTTTATTAATATCTTTTTCCCTACTATCCAGTTCAGTATACAGTTTCAATTGAGGAGAACTGGCAAGAAACTTACCTAAAATTAAAATTTTAAAGGCCAGTTTGTTTACATGGTTTGCTTATCTGTCTTTGTGTCGTTGTCTAACTTTAAATGAAAATCCCAGACTTGAATAGCTATTGGCATACACATATGTTATTTAAATAATTGTTTAATAAGTAATAGGCTTTGCTCAATAAATTTAATCTAGATATTATAAAGTTTGGTCCACATCAAAACGGTCTCAAGTTGCTTGAACTTCTACATCGTTAAATGTTGTAGACCTACAGTAGCTAATGGCTTAACTCTCTTATCATCGGTCTTACGATACATATTTGATTTGTTAATAATTTCAGATCAGTGTTTTCGGAAATTCAGCATGGCAATGGAATAATGATCGGCAACAGTACTATCTCCACCAGTTTTCGATTCAGCAGGCCGACTTCAATTTCAGGAATCCTGACGTGAAAAATGAAATGTACCGAATTATGAAGTTCTGGCTTGATAAAGGGGCAGATGGATTTAGATTGGACGCATTGCCGTATTTGATAGAAGCCGATCCAGTAGACCATGGTGGATTGTACCCTGATGAACCGCATTGTGGATTGGCCAAATTTGAACCACACCAACCTGGTTACTTATGCACAATATACACTAAAGATCAGCTTGAATTGTATGATGTAGTTTACGAGTGGAGAGAGTTCATAGATGATTACAATAAAGTATACGGTGGTGATACTAGGTATGAGAAAAATTTTGACAATGAAATATTTACTCCCTTTTGTCCATGTTTAATACCTCTGTTATCTGCGAGTAAAACTCCCGTCAAAATCGATCGAGTCGTTTAAGAGAGTTGCAAGACCAAATAGACGAAATAGACGAAAATGTTTCATATTATTTTTTTGGTTAAAGTAACCGTATACGCTTTTTCAAATTAACAGCTTTTTTTGCTAAATGCGTGTGAATGCATTTAGCGTACGTAAAGCTATTAATTTGAAATTACAAAGAGACTCTTCAATTTTATTTATTCGTATAGATAAAGTTACATTTATTTATCATATACTGCCGATACTGAGCGGGAGAGTTATTAGAAAATGAATTATTGGACCCTTTTGCTTTTGGACACCAAATTTCTTAGTAAATTCTCCACGATGGGTTAAATGATCTGATTTCTGAATTCATCCTTTCATTGATCATTTATGCTTTACCAACATTAGGTACCACTATTTACTGCAAAGACCTTGACCTTCGATAGAAATATTCGTTAGGTCTGATATTTGGCCTAATTATACAATTTTCAGGATTATACTTTCTGAAGGTTACGCAAATATCACCATGACAATGTTATATTACGAAAATAAAGATGGACGACTGGGCGCGCATTTCCCTTTCAATTTCGGCTTCATCACAGATCTATCTGCAAGATCAAATGCGAGGGACTTCGTGTACACGATCCTAAAGTGGTTAACATACCAGCCGTATGGCACAGTGTCCAATTGGGTGGTAAATATAATTTGAAATGTGTTCCCTAGAAAATCCTAACTAGAATCATATCAAATATTTGTAACACTAAACTAAAATGAAATTCTGTTCTTGACGGGCTCGATATTTTAGCGGTTTAACACACCGATTCTTCTGATGATCGCGGGTTCGATTCCTCGCATCAGCCGTTCACACGCTATATACATGTTTCTAGTTTACATGTATATTTAAAAAAAAAATAGAACTTGTGCTTTTGAAAAGTACATAAGTGATAATTTAGAAGAAAATTCAAAGTTTAAACCGTTTCAAACATTCGGATATATTTTAAATCCAATATCAGTCAAGAAATTTCTTAATATACACTTACATCGAAATTACTGAATACCTCAAATATAATTTTCAGTTTGGAAACCACGACAATAACAGAATGGCGACAAGATTCCGCCCTGATATGGTGGATGGCTTAAACTCCCTCAACATGATGCTCCCTGGAGTAGCTGTTACTTATCAGGGAGAAGAAATTGGTATGAGGGATGGGTTCGTTAGTTGGGAAGATACTGTGGACGTAGAAGCTATCAATACAGGAAATAGCGAGACCTATCTTGAATATTCACGAGATCCAGCGAGGACTCCGTTCCACTGGGACACCTCTACAAGTGCCGGCTTCTCTACCAACGAAACTACTTGGTTACCAATAGCTGAAGATTATTTAAAAATAAACCTTGCGAAACAGAAAGAAGATGATCGAAGTCATTACAAAGTAAGACAATTTTGACTTTATCTGCTATTTAAGAAAGCCCATTTTAATACGACACGAATGGCAAACAAGGTAGGACTGATCTGATGGACCATGATCATTGTCTAATACAGAGGTTCCCGAACTTTTTAGTGTCGTAGACCCCTTGCCATAGTTTTTGGTTTTGGGTAGACCCCATTCTTACCTGGTATTGATTTTTTGTAAATTTCTAACTGTAGTAAAGTTAAGTGTTAAAAACATAAAGTAAAAACAACAAGATGACCGCTGTCGTAGACCCCTTGCAGACCCCCATTACCTTTATTTGAGTAAAGATTATCGTTTTTTAGATCTAAACTTTAAACACTTTTTCCAGCCGTCAATGATTGTACTACTGTTATCTTACAGGTATATCAAGCACTGACGGCATTGCGAAAAGAACCAGCATTGTCCCATGGTGAACATGATATCAAAGCATTAACAGACCGTACACTATACTTAGTGAGGAGTCTGCGCGGCCACGAAACCTTACTGCTGATCTTCAATGTCAGCAAAGATAGTGACACTGTTGATTTAAGTAAAATTGTGGACCTTCAAATGCCAGCTACGGTGTACATCTCCAGTGTACAGTCTGCAAGGTTACAAGGGTAAGCAGACAATGGTAAATTGTGGTAAAATAGATCATGCTTGTGGAGACTGGTCTGTTCGGGTTGTGTGAATTGTCCAGAAATATTATTATACTATTTTCAACACTTTTGCTCGTAAAGTGGATCTAATTTCAGCGGTTTTCGATATATAAAGCAGTTCATAGAACACTCGTACGTTATAAATGCAAATAGTCAACGCACTATTTGCTCTTTTTTTATTCCAATAATGAACCGACGCAGCGCCCTAATTTAAAAAAGTAAAATGGCGGGAAAACCACAAAGTGCATCTCAGTTATGTTATGGTTGACTTTATTTATAATCAAGTGTGTTGTAAAACGTCGTACGATATACGTGCCTATTTAACACATTCATTTCTATTACGCCCTCGTCTTCAGCTGGGGTTGAAATTCCGCCATGTGCTATAACCATCATAACGCACTTATATCTTAATATACTGTTTATTATTATTATTTAACGTTATTATAATTTGTTACAGATCAAATATATATGAGAAAGAATTGACCCTGTTACCTGGAGAAGCTTTAGTGTTACGTGCTCCAACTACATAATAATACTCTAACTCTATCTTAATACCTCTCTATCTTAATGTAAAGTAAAAGTAATATAGTCTGTATTAAAATTCCTATAGTCCAGTTTATAATCGCAGATAACCATTAAAAAATTTGTTAAAAAAATAGTTATTTAATTTGAAAATGGAATACTCAATACTTATTTGGAATCGGAAATAGGCATTAAAGATTTGTTAAAAAAGTAGTTATTTAATTTGAAAATGGAATACTCAATACTTATTTGGAATCGCAAATAGGCATTAAAGATTTGTTAAAAAAGTAGTTATTTAATTTGAAAATGGAATACTCAATACTTATTTGGAATCGCAAATAGACATTAAAGATTTGTTAAAAAAGTAGTTATTTAATTTGAAAATGGAATACTCAATACTTATTTGGAATCGCAAATAGGCATTAAAGATTTGTTAAAAAAGTAGTTATTTAATTTGAAAATGGAATTTACTTATTTGGAATCGGAAATAGGCAAAAGATTTGTTAAAAAAGTAGTTATTTAATTTGAAAATGGAATACTCAATACTTATTTGGAATCGCAAATAGGCATTAAAGATAAAAAAGTAGTTATTTAATTTGAAAATGGAATACTCAATACTTATTTGGAAAAATGATTTGTTAAAAAAGTAGTTATTTAATTTGAAAATGGAATACTCAATACTTATTTGGAATCGCAAATAGGCATTAAAGATTTGTTAAAAAAGTAGTTATTTAATTTGAAAATGGAATACTCAATACTTATTTGGAATCGCAAATAGGCATTAAAGATTTGTTAAAAAAGTAGTTATTTAATTTGAAAATGGAATACTCAATACTTATTTGGAATCGGAAATAGGCATTAAAGATTTGTTAAAAAAGTAGTTATTTAATTTGAAAATGGAATACTCAATACTTATTTGGAATCGCAAATAGGCATTAAAGATTTGTTAAAAAATAGTAATTTTAAAAATGGAATACTGAACACTTTTTGGGACCACATAATGAAACTTTAAATGATATGTCGAGTACTTTGCCATCGCAAATAGCCATTAAATATTTCATTAAAAAAATATATTTTTGAAAAGTGATTTAATCTTATTGTGTATTTATATTTGACCCTAATAAATTAGTGCTGGTTGGTAGTTTGTATTCACACGTTTCGACTTGAAAAATGTGAACTTACAAGTATTATTTAAAAGAGCAACACGGAAGTTTTTGCTCATTCTTCTTGTGATGAGACAGCTTTCCGAATGACCGATAGACTGAAAAAATGTTATGACTATTCATAAGTGCGTAAATTAAGTTTATTTGAATAAAGGATTTTCTATTCTATTCTATTTTTACAGCATAATTTTTGTAACGGAGACTTAAAGCAAAAATAAGGAAAATTATTAACAATATATAACTTTTCGACCTGTCCGTAAACGTAACCTCACAATGCCATACTCAGTCCAGTGACATGCCCCTGGGACATGTCACAAATTGGGTGGTAAGTGGATAGGGGCAGATAATCAGATAAACAACAAACCAATACAGGGAGCTAGGAATATATGGCAACAAATTAGATCAAGCCACAAAAGATTTCCTATGACAGTAAAGTTATATTACAGACTAGCTGTACCCGCGATTTCGTTCGCGTGGAATTTAACTTTATTTTTTTTAAATAAAGAAATATTCAAAAATTGAAGTAGGCTAAGTTACTTCTTATTACATTATCTACCTAACCAATAAAAGAACACAAACCATATGAAAGAAAAATAAATAACTCAGAAAAAACAAGTTTTATTATATTGCAAAATACTAGCTACTCGCCCGGGCTTTGCACGGATGTACATGTATTATATATATAAACCTTCCTCTAAAATCACTCTATCTATTAAAGAAAACCGCTTCAAAATCCGTTGGGTATTTTTAAAGATTTAAGCATACATAGGGACAGACAGCGACAGCGATTTTATTTTATACCATGTAATAATTTCACAGGCACATGTATCACTTGTCAAATATAAAATTCGCACTGAGCTATCGAGTCTGCCTATATATCTAAAAAAATCACTAGTGCCTGTTTTATCTCGATCCCGCATTCGAGCGTGTGGCGCTGCAGTCGCTAACGAGTTTTACAGATACCAATATACTATCTCACCGCGGACTTCGCATCACTAGTGCCTGTTTTATCTCGATCCCGCATTCGAGCGTGTGGCGCTGCAGTCGCTAACGAGTTTTACAGATACCAATATACTATCTCACCGCGGACTTCGCATCACTAGTGCCTGTTTTATCTCGATCCCGCATTCGAGCGTGTGGCGCTGCAGTCGCTAACGAGTTTTACAGATACCAATATACTATCTCACCGCGGACTTCGCATCACTAGTGCCTGTTTTATCTCGATCCCGCATTCGAGCGTGTGGCGCTGCAGTCGCTAACGAGTTTTACAGATACCAATATACTATCTCACCGCGGACTTCGCATCACTAGTGCCTGTTTTATCTCGATCCCGCATTCGAGCGTGTGGCGCTGCAGTCGCTAACGAGTTTTACAGATACCAATATACTATCTCACCGCGGACTTCGCATCACTAGTGCCTGTTTTACCTCGATCCCGCTCTCGAGGGTGTGGCGTTGAAGTCTCTATCGAGTTTTACAGATACCAATATACTATCTCACCGCGGACTTCGCATCACTAGTGCCTGTTTTACCTCGATCCCGCTCTCGAGCGTGTGGCGTTGAAGTCTCTATCGAGTTTTACAGATACCAATATACTATCTCACCGCGGACTTCGCATCACTAGTGCCTGTTTTACCTCGATCCCGCTCTCGAGGGTGTGGCGTTGAAGTCTCTATCGAGTACAGATACCAATATACTATCTCACCGCGGACTTCGCATCACTAGTGCCTGTTTTATCTCGATCCCGCATTCGAGCGTGTGGCGCTGCAGTCGCTAACGAGTTTTACAGATACCAATATACTATCTCACCGCGGACTTCGCATCACTAGTGCCTGTTTTACCTCGATCCCGCTCTCGAGGGTGTGGCGTTGAAGTCTCTATCGAGTTTTACAGATACCAATATACTATCTCACCGCGGACTTCGCATCTCTAGGTCCTGTTTTATCTCGATCCCGCATTCGAGCGTGTGGCGCTGCAGTCGCTAACGAGTTTTACAGATACCAATATACTATCTCACCGCGGACTTCGCATCACTAGTGCCTGTTTTACCTCGATCCCGCTCTCGAGGGTGTGGCGTTGAAGTCTCTATCGAGTTTTACAGATACCAATATACTATCTCACCGCGGACTTCGCATCACTAGTGCCTGTTTTATCTCGATCCCGCATTCGAGCGTGTGGCGCTGCAGTCGCTAACAAGTTTTACAGATACCAATATACTATCTCACCGCGGACTTCGCATCACTAGTGCCTGTTTTACCTCGATCCCGCTCTCGAGCGTGTGGCGCTACAGTCGCTTAAGAGTTTTACAGATACCTATATACTATCTCACCGCGGACTTCGCATCACTAGTGCCTGTTTTACCTCGATCCCGCTCTCGAGGGTGTGGCGTTGAAGTCTCTATCGAGTTTTACAGATACCAATATACTATCTCACCGCGGACTTCGCATCACTAGTGCCTGTTTTATCTCGATCCCGCATTCGAGCGTGTGGCGCTGCAGTCGCTAACGAGTTTTACAGATACCAATATACTATCTCACCGCGGACTTCGCATCACTAGTGCCTGTTTTACCTCGATCCCGCTCTCGAGGGTGTGGCGTTGAAGTCTCTATCGAGTTTTACAGATACCAATATACTATCTCACCGCGGACTTCGCATCACTAATGCCTGGTTTACCTCGATCCCGCTCTCGAGCGTGTGGCGCTGCAGTCGCTATCGTGGTTTACAGATACCAATATACTATCTCACCGCGGACTTCGCATCACTAGTGCCTGTTTTACCTCGATCCCGCTCTCGAGCGTATGGCGCTGCAGTCGCTATCGAGTTTTACAGATACCAATATACTATCTCACCGCGGATTTCGCTAGTGATGCTTACAGAATAGCTCTACAGTTTATTATACTGCACGCTACAATTTCTGTAATTCGTCGAATGTACACGGACAGACGCCGGTATGTCCTACTAAAATTTGTACACGAATGCAAACAGTAATTTGGAATCATTAGCAGTTAACGATCCCTGAAATTTTGGTTCAAAACAGTGAGAATGTTTGTAACTTTACAGTTTGTAGTATCCACGTAGTATTTATTGGAAATATTACATTGGGTATACTATATACAATTTATAGTTTTTATCAATAAGTAGAGTAATCTATGTTTATTCTTTATAATCTACTAGCTGTTCCCGCGAAATCGTCCGCGTGGATCTTATCTTTATATTTCTAAAATAAAAGTAGTCCAAGTAACTCCTTATTACATCAGCTACCTGCCAAAAAAAGTCCCGTCAAAATCGATCCAGCCATTTCAGATATTAGCCGGAACAAACAGACAGGCAGACAAAAATTGTAAAAAATGATACATATTTTAACGTAAATACATACATATTATACATAGAAAACACCCAGACCTATACCAACAATCATACTCATTAATACAAATGTTTGTACAGTGCAAGGAATCGAACCCGCGACCATCGGAAGTAAAGCGATGTACTACCACTAGACCACTAAACCCAGCAAAACATTAGTTAACTTCAGCAACAAAGGTGAAATGTACCCGGTCATTAGGCAGTTACGTTTGGTCCAGTCATAGCAAATTATAGGCCACCAGCATTACAACGTTTGGAGGGTAATTTGAACAGTAATAATTATTTGTTCACAACATAGTGTATGTCACCACGCTAGTGTTGTATGCAACGAGTTTTATGGTATATAAAAGAAAATTCTATATTTAAATAAACTTTTTTTTATTATATTACGATAGTGGCAATGAACAAGTATGTTCGCGCAAGTTTTATATAATAGGGAGTTTTATAAAATAGTTTAGAAAATTCTATATTCAAATAAACTTTACTTTTTATACTACAATAGTGACAACGAACAAATATGTCCCCGCTAGTGTTGTATGCAACGAGTTTTATGGTATATAAAAGAAAATTCTAT